ATTTTTTTTTCAGCAAATAATTAGCAAATAAAGAGCACTAAATTTTTGACCTATCGCGATTTTGATTTTCGATGGTGGGGGGTCCAGGTTAATGGGGGTGAAGAATATCATATTTTGTTACTTTAAAAGCTTTAAAAAACTAACAAAAAATCAAAAAGTTTTTAAAAATATTAAATTGCCATTAATTAATGCTTTCAAACAGATATTAATTAATTGGTATACATGTATATACCGATACAATTTATTTATTTATACGCGTCTACAATAAATCTTCCGCGGAAAAGTTCAGCCGCTCATAAATTGCATTAAATTACACCGGCCGGAAACGCTTTACCCTCTTCGCGCTTTCTCTCTCCATGCGTTTCTCCTGTCTCTCGGCATTTTTGTTACTCATCGTTCGAGTGCGCACGTTACACGCGATATCGGCGATATGAGAGAATCGATATTCCCGAGAGAGACCGCCTTTGATCGCCCTGGAGTAACGAGGTAAAAGGGTGCGTTCGCACTCGCGATGCGCCCTACGGTGGAGATTCGAGGCGGCCGTCGTTGTGTTGCTAAATATAAAGCAAAGAGACCCCCAAAGAGAAGAAGGAGGCTGAGGAATGTCCTGACGCTTAATATTCTCGGACCAGACACACGTTTTACGAGGTCGTGCGGGATTCGGTCAGAATTTTCGGCAATATTTTAAAAGACCGCACACGTATCACGTCCGGGACTGCGTGGTTTTTGCCTCGTGTCATGCCGGAAACCAGTCAAAATTTAAGAAGCGAGATTACACGTTATCGCGGGAGAAAACCACAAGAGGCGCCATGCAGTGCGAGGGATTTAATCTCGGGAAAATATCATCAGGGAATAACGTGGTGCAGCATCACGTGGGCGTCTTTATGCATATGGATCGTGTCTCGAAAGTGCAATCCGGTGCAAGATTTAATGTAATATCGGTTAATTAACTTCCGTGCCGGCCCAGACGTTAGGAAATAATTTGTGAAATGGCGATTGAACATTTAACACTATAGGTAGAAAAAGACTCTGGTTGTATTAGTTAGCATGGTTAAAAATAGACAAATCAAAATTTTCTGGTTGAAGCTATCATAATTCTAATTGAGATAACTGGAATTGTGATTGATATCGATACGATCAGAATCTATTGGTCCATTCATTTTTAACAAGAATTTTTTTCTGTATAGCTATACTGAACGGTTATTATTGATCGTTCCTATTTTTTAGATTAATATTTTTGTGAAAGATAAGATTCTAAAATTTATTAACTTTTTAATAATTATGTCCTTTATATTGATAATATATTTGATTTTTCATCGCGTTTTTTATTTTCATAGTAATTCATTTGCTTGGTTCTTTACATAAATATGAGAACGTTAGTACTTTTATAATATTATTAGCTAAAATATAACGATGGACGTTATAGTTAAAAATAATTACTTATGTACTTTTTCATAATATATAATTGTTAATATAATCATAATCAAATATTATTCATAGATTATTTAAAACCTTCAGCTTCAATCAACCGATTACATATATTAATTATAGTCAAATATTATTAATAAATTATTCAATGCCTTCAACTTTAGTCGCAAATGTCCCCGATACAATTATGGTTGATTGAAGCTGAAAGTTTTAAATAATTTATGAATATTTAAGTATGATTTATGTAAAGAATTGGTAATTGTATTAGTGTAAAAAAAATGTGCATAAATATGATATATTATACATATAAATGTATGTTAATGTGTTACAGTGCATAAAACAGCATTGATTTTCTTAAAAAGAGGCAGTTTGCTCCCACTAAAATTCAATCGCGACAAACTCGAGGCGTTTTGTTATTGCACCGATTTGAATAACGTTCAATACGTTATGGACAAATGGTCGTATTCTATGCGTGTGCGTAATATTTATGTCTTATGCAAATCCGAACGCCATAACGTCAGTGGCCGCATGGCAATGATATCGTAATCTGCATTTAAAAAGTACCTATACATGTATAAATGGAAATAAAGATTTCATCGTGCGAAGTATGTCATAAAAGAAGTTCGAAATAGTTGAATAAAATGAATCAGAATGAAAATATAAACCGCATCAGTTGGCTGTGTTTTAGCAGAACAAGTAGCTTTGCAATTATAAAATTCTTTGGTTATCTTTAGTTCATCACTGGATCTACATAAACCAATCATATTAAAAAATCTTATAACAATTGCAAACCTGATTTTTCTGTTGAATACAAACAAAGACAGAAAACGTATAATACATCTTCAAAAAAATAAAATAATTTGTAACATATAGAATGTCTCAATTTTTCATAGACTAAAATGTTATATAAATAGAACGAAATCCTATTTCAAATAACACATTACAAGTAGAACAAATAAAATATTACAACTCCAATAAAAATATAGATATTACGTGAAATTTAATAATCTTCAGTTATTATATCAACATTTGATTTTGATTGTATTATATCAATATAAAAGTTTGATTACTTTTAAATATCTAACAATAAGTTAAAATTCTATTTTTCCTTATTTCTTTTTAATAACATTTATTGCATCTAAAACTACCTGGGTCAATGTTTTTTTAAATTATTTCTTTAAAAATACTTTTATTCGTAATGCAATGAATAAATTAATAATAAAATTTTAGAAATTAAAAAATAACAACTCTCTAAATTATGATTGTTTCATTGTTCTCTAAAGTTTCTTCCACGACATTTGCGTTTCACAATTTTAATTGAAAGAAGTCTATTGGAATTTATAATAAAAAAATCAAAACATAAAAAAACTCTCTCGTTAAAACAAATGAAATTAAAATATACATTTTTTTTTATTCAATAAAATTATTCAACATCAATTATTGATTCAAAAACACTAAACTAGATTGTCTTAGATAAATTAAAAGTAATAAATATAATTTAAAAAATTACTAAATTTTAATATTTGTTTAAATAATACTAATGAAACATTTACTTATAATAAATAAAACGATTTTTAAACCAAATTAATAGTTCTTGTACCAAATAAATATATGTTTACATTTAGTAAATATTTTATTATTCAACTAAATATTTATTAAAATTTAGTAAATTTGTTTAGTGTAGCAAATAGCAGGTACTTACTTTGCTTAAGACTATGTCTAAATCCGCGCGCTTGGACGGCTGTCAGGTCGTTCAGGAACAACGAGAAGACAATAACGAGAAGGCGTAACGTGACGTTGCCAGCATGTCCCTTCTTCGTGACAGTGGCCATGGTCCACGAGGATTCCTATAATTCCTTGACACCACCGAACAAAGGTGATCATTGACAGGAGGCACTCACATAGTCCGTAAATCGTCGAACGGAAAAAAAGAGAATAAAAGAGAAAAACGATGAGCGAAAAATTACTGTCTCACTCCGCTCCGGCTCTCGTCGTTCATCGATTCGCGTCGCATCGTCGTATCGCCATGTTGATCGCCTCGTGATAGATCGCGCGCGAAAATCAGCAATTTATCCACACCTCGTCGTCGCGTTTCCGTTTCGCTAATTCGTCGACGATTATCGCGAATTTCTGAACGCCACTCGATCATACCGAAACACATCGACGACTTTCGCTTTCTCTACACGACGAGATTTCCAGAACGATCATCGCCACGTTATTCGACATTATCTTGTCTCCATCGGACAACTTCAGAACGACGCCAACGGGTCGCACCTCCGTCTTCGCCGTCGGCGCACGTTAATCCACGTTAATCCATTGACATCAACGTCAGATTTGATTCTCGATATCACGCACTCGCGAATTTTCCCCGCGCGATATTCCGAAATGACGAACACGACGCGAATGCTTCCGCGAAAGCGAAAACTCGAACCACGTGAATTTAGCCACGAGTGCGTTCACTGCTCCGCGCTTCGAATTCGCGGTCGACTGAAAAGTTCGTTAGATATTTTCGAAAGATATTTTCGGCGTTCACTTGTTGCTCTCGGAGACGAGGAATCTTTTACCGGCGCGCATTCACTCTGCTCCTCCGAGTGTAGATGACGATAGACGAAGAGATAAATCACCACCGCACCACGCGACACGCCACCACGGTGGTTGGCGATCCCGCACATACGACGTGTATGAAGTAGAAATTTAATGTCTTACTTTCTTTCCGCGTCCACGCGGGAACATCCGTCTGCAGGAATGGGCGCCACACTTTTAACAGAGAGAGAGAGAGAGAGAGATTACTCCTAAATTCTAAACCGAGAAACTAGCCGCGTGCGAGAAAGAAGGGAAAGACACGCCAACAACGCTCCAGCATTACCGACGTGAAGGTCGCGAGCGAACTGACTGAAGCAAGCGCCGAGTCACCGTCACCACCGAGCGCCGCGCGGTCACCCCCACCCCTCTCACATTATTATACTTCCAATACGGTTACGCCTCAGACTCGAGACACGCACAAAGGACATTAATTTTTTTATGTCTATTACCGAAGTCAATTCTTAATTTTTTGTGAACGACGCAATATAATAATACAAGAATTTTATTGCAACTAAAGCCAGCAGCACACGATGCTTGTTTTCTTACTGGATAGTAAGAATAATAGTGTGCTGCTGGCTTAAATGTTAAAAAACCAGGGTTGGTAAAGACTAATGTTTTTTTTTTTAAGAATAAAACATATTGTGTTTCTTCTTGAATGTATTTTTAAAGCTTCAAATATGCTTTAAACAGTACTATAAAAAAAACATATTAAAAACATCAATTAAGAATGTTTTGAACTGTTTAAAATACGTTTAAAACATGTTTTTTACCAACCCTGTAAAAAACGCAATTGCGCTTAATGAAAAGTTTTAAAAATACAGATTTTATATAAAGACGAAGATATCTTCCACTGTTCTTTGTACTGGTTAAAACATACATGATTGTAACATCAAATATTTATGTGGATTGTGTACAACGCTTATATTCTTCTGTACTGTTCTTTCTATTTAGACTCCTTTCTTATATTTATTTTTAAACACTTCTCACGTATGTTCCTTCACAACCTTACATCCCTTCTCAAATTGGTAGTCGCAACAGTATAAGTAATGTAATGAAACACGCAGTCTATAACGTATTTGCGCGTGTTCGATCATGGGAAGCACACGTATTTGTGTTCAATTGTGCGTCTTTATGGCGTTCGTCGCCGCCGTTGTCGTAACTGACCCAGGTAAATCGTAAAAATCAATATCTCATTTTCTATCGCTTAAGTAATTTAATTACTTTTAAAACATAACACTTCCATACAAAATTAGCCAAATATTACGTCGATGGACTGATAATATGATTAGTAATAGAAAAAATAGAAAACCTACGTGATTCGAATTAATTTCACTCGTTTATAATTATTAACAACTTTTCGATATTTTCTTTTTCGTTTTTAATTGAAAAGCATATACATGTATATGAGGCATTCTTTTACAAACCGAACACTTTTTTTTTCGACATTTTTAAATCGCTTCAAACTTTTTTTACCAATTGTAGGTATAAAATAAGCGAAC